CAAAAACTCAGTTTTGGTCAGATGTGGCCGCACATGCCTTACAACCCCAGCGCCCTGGCAATGGAGATGGAAGAGTTTCTGGGGCTTGCTGGCTGCCAGCCCAGCTCCAGGTCCAGTGAGAGACTCTGCTTCAGAAGAAAAACGTAGAGACTGATAGGGCAGAACACCCAGTGTCCTCCTCTGGAACAGGCATGGAGAGAGAGAGAGAGAGAGAGAGAGAGAGAGAGAGAGAGAGAGATGGGCAAAATACGTGAGGTGACATTCTCAGAATAGGATGCACAAATGGACAAGTGTGATGAAGAATGATCAGAACTGCTATTCATCAGAGAAGCGCGTTAAAAACCACAGTGTGATATGACTCGTTCTTCCTAGAATGACTACTATAGGAAAAGGAAGTAGCATAGGTCGGTGAGAATGCAGAGAGGGAAGCATTCGTGTGCTGTTGAGGATGTGATTAATATAACTTTCAAATTTATTCTGTTGTATTTACTGTTATTACTAGTGTGTGTGCATTTTTGTTTGAGCTGCATGTGTGGGCACATGCATGCTATGGCATATGTGTCTAGACCAGAAGGCAGCTTTATGGATCTACTTGGTCCTTTCCTTCTACCTTTACATGGATGCTGGCAATTGAGTTCAGGTTGCCAGGCAATGGGGCAATCACCTTTGCCCTCTGAGACATCTCATCCACTCTAGTAGAGCTTTCATAAGAGATTGTGTGGAGGTTCCTCAATAAACTCCCAGGCAAACCCAGCACGACAGTACCTTCTCACGTCTGTGTATCCGTGCATTGAAATGAAAACAATGATCCATATTTGCACCTGTGTGCATTACAGCATTATTCATAACTGCCAGCGTACAGAATCAGCCTAGGTGTGAATTAACGGAAAAAACGAATAAAGAAAATACACATAGCACAACTAAATACAATACAGGCATATGAAAAGACAGTGACATGAAGCCATTGGGATGGACATGGAACCCAGAAGACACTGAGTCAAGCAAAATAAACCAGGCACAGAAAGACAAATACCACATGATCCACTCATACACGGAAGACAAAAACACTCAGCCAGAGTAAACCACTCCGAGAGGAAAAAGTTTACTAGAGCTGGTGAGAGAGACAACCAGGATATTCCTGGGACGGATATGTTTGGGGATTCATTCACTACTCAGTCACTGTAGCAAAAATAATGATTCCAGGCTATGGAGATGACTCAGTGGGTAAGAGCACTTACTGCATAAGCTTGAGGACCTTAGAGCGTCTAGGCTTGTGTAAAAAGCTAGGTGTGACCACGAGCATGTCTTTCATCCTAGTGCTATGGGGGCCAGAAAAAGGAAAATTGCTGGGGTTTGCTG